ATCGAATATCCCAAGTAAGCTGAATTTTCTTGCTACCAAGCAGCAGGGATTGGACCTAATCTGTCTGATTTTCCACAGATACACTGCAGTGTCCGTCCTGGAAATGGACTTTGAGCGCATAGACATAAATCAGTGCCCCCTCGGCGAAGGCAACAAGGGGCCGAATCACTTTTCAGACACGGCGCGATGTAAAAAGGAGACGACAGAGTGTGAGCCCTTGCACGGCTGGGGCTTTAGGCGAGGCGGCTACCAATGTCGCTGTAAGCCGGGATACCGGCTGCCCAACGTTGTGCGCCGCCCCTACCTGGGCGAGATTGTGGAGCGCGCCTCGGCAGAGCAATACTACAACGAGTATGACTGTCTCAGTATTGGCTGTAGGTGAATCCACGCCACCAACAAGACTCCTTATTAACAATCGATCTCCTGCAGGGATTCAAAAGCTGCCGATTCAGTGGGAAAAGGCGCCCTACCATGTGCGACAGAAGTATCTGGACATGCACTCTGAGTACCGGAACTACACGACTGGCTCCCGGGCTCTGCACTCCGAGCACATAAACATCGATCAAGTATTGAAGTTCATCCATGGGGTGAACTACCGCACATGCAAAAAGTGAGTTAAAGGCTGGGGTTGGGGGTATCCACTTTTCTGTTCCCCTACTGATGCATATGTATCTTGGCAGCTTCCATCCGCAGGATCTTATACTGCGAGGCGATGTTAGCTTTGGCGCCAAGGAGCAGTTCGAGAACGAAGCCAAGATGGCCGTGCGACTGGCCAACTTTATTAGCGCCTTCCTGCAGGTAAGCAGCAGTCGTGTAGTCGTCTATGTAGAGCGATGCTACAGATGCAGAGATCAGAGATGGAAGAGCGTTCTTCCCACCATCTCGCCTTCACGCTAAATGAAGAGCAATAATTGATAACCCGACACCTATTAAGAGCCTTCGACGACGGCTCTTGAAAACTTCTCAAGTGTAAATTATAATTTTCCACGCGTAATTCAACTTCCTCGAATTTCCTGCTTTCCTGCAATGCCAGTTTCACAGTTTCAGCCTCGGATTCTCTGGGTGTGTGTGTGTGTGTGTCTGTTTTGCAGTAGGAGCTGGAGCTGGAGTTGAGTTGCCAGCCGCGCGGCGTGAATTAAATATTCAGTGTCAAACCATTGCCAAATGCTAAATTCATTAGTTTGAGCGCAAAGGACACGAAAAACGGGTTCGCCACAAGGCGTCGTCTTCATTAAAGGACCAGCAACCAGCAGCCGCAGAGGACGAGAAAGAGCCAGCAGCCACGGAACTAGAGTTTCCCTGTATCTCACTCGCTCCTCTTGCTCCCGCCGCTTGCTGTGTCTATATTTGCACAAGTTCTTAGCATTCAAATGCAAAACTCCTCTTCGGCTGTGGGGGAAAGATTTCCCAAAGATCTGCGAATGCTCCCCAACACTAACTTATGCATATGGGTATGGTCCTTCGCTTTCTTTTTCGGCAGGTATCGGATCCCAATGAGGTATACTCGGGCAAGCGTGTGGCGGACAAGCCGCTGACCGAGGATCAAATGATCGGCGAGACTCTGGCCATTATGATGGGCGACAGCAAGGTCTGGTCGGCCTCAACGCTCTGGGAGCGCAATAAGTTCACCAATCGCACCTACTTCGCACCCTATGCCTACAAAACGGAGCTGAACACACGCAAGTTCAAGGTGGAGGATCTGGCGCGCATCAACAAAACGCACGATCTGTACACCGAGAAGAAGTACTTCAAGTTCCTCAAGCAGCGCTGGAACACCAACTTTGACGATCTCGAGACCTTCTACATGAAGATCAAGTTACGGCACAACGAGACAGGTGAATACCAGCAGAAGTACGAGCACTACCCCAACTCGTATAGGGCGGCCAGCATCAAGCATGGCTACTGGACCCAGCCTCAGTTCGACTGCAATGGCTATGTGAAGAAGTGGCTGGTGACCTATGCGGTGCCCTTCTTTGGCTGGGATAGCCTCAAAGTGAAACTGGAATTCAAGTGAGTACCGTCGCAGAGGGGTAAGGGTGCTGATACTTGTTGGGCCGGTCCGCTTGCGTGCCGCTGTCGCGGGCCGTGATCCCTTTTAGGGAGGGCGCAGTCCCAGTCCCATTCCCATTCCCATTCAGAATCCCATATTCAAAATCCCATTCTCATGCAAATGTTTTGTTGTCGTTTCTATGATTTGATTGTCTAATTTTCGAGTGTTGACATGGCCTAACTTTTGACTTGTGACTCCCATGAGCGCGGGGCATTGTGATGCAAATGTTGGCAATTAAACTGACTAATTTGTTTGCTCTACGCAGGGGTGTGGTGGCCGTGTCCATGGACATGCTGCAGCTGGACATCAATCAGTGCCCGGACTGGTACTATGAGCCCAATGCCTACAAGGGCACGCACAAGTGCGACGAGAAGTCATCCTATGTGAGCAGTTCCTGACATTCTAATGCATAATGACCCCCTAATGGCTTTCTCCCCCCTCATATTTCCAGTGCGTTCCGATAATGGGTCGAGGCTATGAAACTGGCGGCTACAAGTGCGAATGCCTGCAGGGCTACGAGTATCCGTTTGAGGATCTGATCACCTACTACGATGGACAGCTGGTGGAGGCCGAGTATCAGAATATTGTGGCTGACAAGGAGACGCGCTACGATATGTTCAAGTGTAGATTGGCCGGCGCCCCGGGCCTGCAATCGGCCCTGGGGCTGGTCATCTCGCTGATTGGCCTAACGCTCACCATGCTTTATAGATTTAGATAGGGATCCATCCGCACGCCAAATAACTAACTTAACTTTCAGCAAACTTTCGTCCAACCGAAAAACTCACATCAAATCTCTCCACAAAAGATATAACTACAAAGCAACAGCAATCTCAAAGACACAAAATTGACACCCAAAAACAAAACGAGCTGCCAGCCCAGTTCTCCGCAATCCGCTCTGCAATCCGTTTGCTCTTCTGCTCCTTTTGAACATTGTCATCATTTATCTGCAAGGCGATTAAGTTGTAGACATAATCTATTACAATGAATCTGGTTATTTGTCATTTCTATCAAAAGCGGCCGCAGTAGCAGCAGAAACAGCAGCAGAAAAAGCAGCAGGAGCAGCAACGACAGCAGAAAAGCGCAAACAGCCGCGCCTACTGCGCTCAGATTACGGAAGCGTCGTCCGCTGGGTTTTCGTTGTCGTCGCTGCCTTTGCCGCTGCTCCTTCTGTGGCCCTCTCTAATGTCCGTGAAGTCGCCCAGCTGTATGCGTGTGTGCGCTCGCTCAGAGCGCCGATCGCAAACCTGTTAACATCCAAACCCAGTTAGGCCCCGTACCTACACCCATCGGGGAGGTCCAGGTCCAGCCTGAGGGTTGTTTGTGCCGCACGCACACCTTTTTTCCATAGCTCTGCCTGGTCCAACGGATGGCACAAAATATCCAACGCCTGCCGTCGTGTTTTTCTTATATTAAATCGTCGACATTGCGTCCGATGGTCTGCTGGCTGTTTTTTTTGTTGCCTGAATTAAATATATGCCGCTGCCGCAGCGGCGTTTTTTCCGTTCGCTTTTTTGTTTTTTGCGCCTTGATTATCATATGCGCTTGAATTTTATTATCTGTACCCTGAGAACTTTTTCTATGCGCCGCAGGAACCAGTTTATCAGCCACTTGGTCTCCTACCAGGGCAAAAAAGAAATCTCCAGCTTTTTTCATTAAAAACTTTATAGCCATAGGTAGCTGGACATGGGCACAAAAAATATTTTTCACACATTTTTCATAGTCATTTCAGGGCAGCAGCAGCAGCTCTGATCGGTGGGCAGTGACTGTCGCAGCATTTGGGCAACTCCTCCATTTCCAAATGTGCCGCTGCGACTGGAGGCTGCCGAGGCTCCGAGCCGAGACGCGCTGCGCTGCGAGAGCCCGTTCAAGTGGCGGCTGGCTATGTCCGCTTTTGGTTTTGTTTCTGGGTGTCTTATTCAGCCCGCAGAGGGCTGTCCCTATAATATTCCATTCCCCTATCAATTTGTAGAAAAATACAAAGTGTATATTGTGCCTTAAAAAAACAAAAACAAAAAGAATTACATGAATCTGTAACCGTATCTGTTTAAGCTCGAATACTTGTAAAACCAGAGACTATATCGAATGTCCGTCCAAGAACAAAGTCTGTTTTTGTATAATGTACCTTAATGTTAAGTGCCTTGAGAGCAGACAGCAGAGAATTTTTACAAAAGTATCATTTTTCCATAGTTTAATGTATAGAATATTAAGTGTCTTGCAACTCAAAAATACGAATCCATATACACAATGTTTAAATATATGATTTTATAGTAAACGAATGGAGATTAGACTATCATTTCCCACTTACCAAATGTATTCATCTTGGATTCTCGGTTCCGTAAGGTTGGTTAGTCGAATAACACCGATTCAACGGTTAAAAATTCAGTTCTTCTAGTCTTCAATGATTGACTTATTCGTCACGCATTAAAATTTGAACGTTTTAAGATCAAAGTGCACAAATCGAATTTCCAAAAAAAAATGAATGCAATTTTTAAGAATGCAAAATCACACGAATTGGTTTATCACAAAACAAAAGACAAACAAAAAACAAAAGTAGTGGGAACACCAAAATAATTATTTCACGCCGCCCGAAGAATGGGCCCGAGCGTCGCAAGTTCTCTTCCGATTTCTTTATCTTATACTATGCTATGTCCGTGATCACCCGACGGCACTGCCTCGATTTGTAAATGAATCGCGCACTATATCCGGCCAAAATCGGTAAATCCGGTCCACAAATATAAAGAAAAATTTCTAATTTGGACTTTGATTTTAATTTTTCGATCCTTTTAGAATTTTAAAATAATTTTTGGAAGGGGAGATGTAATTTGAATGGTTGATGTTGTATTACTGATACATTTCCCAGTTGCCACACAGCTTGTCATCTCCCAGTAAACTCAAAGCCCACTCAGGGACGTCTCGAACAATTATTGAATTAGCCCAAATCCCAAATATAAAACAATCAAGTATGCATTCCCTTTTTTTTCAACTATTTATTTCGTGTTCAGTTTTGTGTGTTCTAAATACATCCCAGCTACACCAATTGCCTCTCTTTGTGTGGGCGGGTAGGTAAAAGTAGGGGTGTGTATGTGTATGCAGTTGGTTATCAAACATTTTTAAAAACTATCACAAATCAATTATTGGATGTGGCTACACAACAAAGTACAATATATAGTAGCTCAGATCTGTATGCCCCAAAAAAGGGTTAGAGATTGGATCCTAGATTGGGTCATACGAGCGCCGGCCACGTTAATACAACAGTTTCCTCGTTGATTCATTTTATTCTCTACAACACTTCGAATTACAAATTACGAACAACACATAAACGTTTAAAAAATACTAATACTTCAATTTGTTTTTGACTCGAATCGCAATCAGTTCGCTTTCAAACTAAAAACCTTAACAAAAATCCAATCCAAAATGCACAGTTGAGTCTAAAATGAAAAACCTTTTGGATCTAGTGGCTAGATGAGCTTACAGTTTAATTGTTTTTCTTAGCCAAGTGAATCTCAAGTTGTTGGTGAAAAGTCTATAAACTATTTGCCTTAAGTAACTTGGTTTCACTTCTTCGATCTAGCGTTGTCGTTTCCTTCTTAAGGTGTGCCATTGAGTGGATCCACTCTAAAACATTTGACTATTCATTTTCGTTACAATTAACGTATGTATGTATATAATTGCTAAAAACAATTGGCTTCGATTCCTTACACAATTTCGTAATAATTATGAGTATTAAATAATAACCATTTACGAGTATAGTTAACATTTGGGGCACTTTTGAGCTCTTTTCGGGTGCTCGATTCATGGATTGGTTTCTTTCTCATTTACATAGATTGAGATTGAGACTGAAGGCGTGGCGTGGCGTGGTGTGGCGAGGTGTGGGCTCGGGCGTGGCTGCCTGGATTCTGTTGACTGGAGCTGAAGTCTCTCAACTGTAACTGTAACTTTATCTGTAACTGTATCTGTATCTGAATCTTTAACTGTATCATTTAAATGTGTTATATTTTGAGCAAAATTGTAAGCTGCATGTGTTCCGATCAAACTTTTACATCAACAACAACGACAATAATATGGTATAATGGCGTGTACACTATAATCGGATACGACATCGATATTGCATCTCCTAAATGTGCAAAATTCTATTAAATCCTTAAACACTGAATGATTGTATTTTCTCGTTTTGCCTACACTCGTCGTATGCTTGCTTGATATGCATCTGCATGAGCTGAGAGCTGCCCCCCTAATCGGTTGGGGCATAATAGACCACCGTGGACTTCCGTCGGAATCCCAGGTTGAAGAAAGACGTCTCGGACTTCTTGCGCTCATGCTCGTGCTCGTTACCAAAATAGGAGAATAGTCGGCCCGTGGTGCCGGCAGCCATCGACCGTCCAGCGCCATGGACACTGTGACTGCTGCTCTGGCGGTGGATCTTGGTGAGCGAGGTGTGCGAGTGTTGGCGCTGCAGGTGCTGCTGGTGGTGCTGTCGGTGGTGCTGCTGATGGGACTGTTGTTGCTGTTGCTGCTGATGTAGAAGTTGCTGGTGATGCTGTGCGTTGACGCTGCCATGCAGATACCCACTGGTAGTTGGCGATAGGTCAGTCATCTCACACGGCCAGAGGGTGAACGAAGATGGGACCTTATGTATCCCGTCCGATAATCGATAATGGTGGGATGCTGACCTATTGAAGTACCGCTCCGAGGGCCGCGACCCCATCTATACGATCATTTTTTTGTTTTTTATTTTTTTTTTTGGGAGTTTGTGTGTTGTTTTTTTGGGCATAGAAAGAAGTGTACATGTTAGTATCGGCTTGGTTAGGTCTATGGAGGCAAGTTCTTTGTATGGCATTAGTTTGATTTAGTTTCTAGGCATTTCTTTTCGTGTTCAATTCTAATGCGCTACATACACTCACATTTACATAAATTATTCATTTGCAAGACTATTTAATTTCAATTTAGCATCGTACATACATATATGCACTGCAGATCAGACAATAGCCACAGCAGCAATTGGAATTGGGTTCCATCTGGGTATCATCTTGTGACGGCTGTCTGCAGTGCACAAATACTCGCACAATAGCATAAGAGATCTAAGACTTTTTACTGATTTTTTACTGATGTTTTGTTACTGTTATTTACATAATTCCTGTATATTGGTGTGTGTGTGTGTGTGTGTGGGTTTGTAGGTGTGTGGAGTGTATGTCAGTGTGGGTGTTGGTGTGGGGTTAAGCGGGGTGGATCGAGTTACGAGTGCCACAAATTGTTATACACATATATATGTATATGTATGCATGTAGTTAACATAAAGCTGTGCTCTTCCAGATACAAGAAGTATAGATCGGTTAATACAGATACTGTCCAACAACATAGGCATGGTGCAAACACTCACAAAGCAATTTCAGAATCTAACTTAGAAGATAGCAAATTTGTACCATAAATAATTTAATAGGTGCCAAAAGTGATAGGTGAGAAGTGAGAATTGAGATGGTGGACTGTACATGCGTGAGGATAATCGAGTGTGTTGCTACGTAGTGAGGCTACAGAGTTTAGGGGTCGATAATAAAATGAATAAAAAAACATATCTGGAGCTCTCACCGTTCGTTCGTTCATTTGTGTTTCTTTATTGGGGAAACTATTACTTTACTAAATGTAATTGGTACAAAAATTGTTCTCAACAGTCAGACAACGGTTATAAAAACTTTGTAGGCTCGGGGGCGATGCGTCGTGGCCTTGGCCGTGGGGTCTAAGCAAAAATGCCCACGGCCCGTGACCACGACCACAATCGGCCGCCTCGAGATCTGCGATTCATTCATGCGATTGGCTCAAACAACATATGGGTTTGTATTGACCGCATAATACTTTCGCTTATGTTTACAATGGGATGCATAAATATGCTGCGATCTGTGGAATGGAGACGTCCAAAAAGAGACCATAGAGGAAGAGAGGAGAGAGAGAAAGAGAACGCATAATTTGAAGAGGATATCAAAGCAAAAGACAGCAAAGGACAAAACATAACAGTACGACTAAAACAATGCATTCACGATGATCCCAATCCGATTCCGATTCCGGTCCCCCTGCCCGCGCTTCAAGTCAGCGCAACTAACTCTACGGGCGGCAACTGTACCTTGTACTTATCGATACTTTCATACAAAAGGAATGAAGGTTTGTGTACTTACCCCAAGGCTGGCAAGTGGTGCAATTGAGTACAGGGTTTTCTTTGGCTTTGGCTTTCTTTTTTCTTTTGCTTTGTTTGGTTTTTGAAAATCTTTTTACAAAATATATATATATGTTCTGGTTGCGGTCTTTTTGCTCTGTACATTTCTGTGACTTGTCCAACTCTTAGCTTATGTGGTGCGTGCGCGTGATGTGCCGCTGCGCATATCTCGTGGACGGTCCGGGGACTATAGCATCTCGTTTACAAAGCGCTGGCCTACCGCTACATGTGTTGTTCGAGTGTATTCATGGATGGGTATGTATTATTATTTTTTTTTGGCAGTGTTTATTTTTGCAATGGCAATTGATCGATTTAGCCGGGTCGGTTCGTTTCGTTGTGTGATCGCGTATGTTCAGGTGTTCAGTGTTTGAAGAGTTAGGGGGAGAGAGAGAGAGAGAGAGAGAAGAGTTCGAAGAGAGGAGATAGTCGAGAAATAGAGAGAAAGAGAGAGAGAGAGATAGGCAGGTTTGTGGCATAGGTGAAGTAGAAAAACAAGAAGAAAAGAAGCAATAGTACAGATTAGCGGTGTTTACTATATACAAATCAGAAATCAGAAATCAGTAAATGTTATCTACTAGAGAGCTGCTGGTATAGAATTTCAGTTTATCTCCAAAATAATTATACAAGAAACTGATCAACAGAAGATTTATGATTTCATTCATTACATCTACATACAGACAGTACTTCGGTGTGTGAGGAGAGAGAGAGAGAGAGAGAGATAGAGAGTGTGTCTGTCATTCATCTCGGATTCAGATCAGATCTAAGCTCGCGAGTGACATTACATACACGTACGTTGGATGAGGTGAGAGTGAAGTTTCTTCAAAATAGTTTATAGCTGGCAGAGGGTCACGGTTACGGCAAAAACCCTCGCCTTGACTTACCTTGGCACGAGTACAGTAGGTACTCATCGAAAAAGAAGTTCTGAAGGAATAGCAAATTGAAATCAGCCAATAGTATTTGGGACTGGCTCTACTGTATTTGTATTTGTAATGCATTGTATTTAATTACTTATCAAATGAGCTATGCTATCAATACTTTACTCTGAGTGTGGAATATGGAATAGCTTATGGAGAGGATATTGAAATCATACTGGGATGCGAGTAAGAGAGTAAAGAATCGATAAAGTTGCAATCATCATCCCTCCACAAACCAAATCAAACCCGAAATACCAAAAGTTCTAGGCAAAAGTATTTGACTATGGATAAGAAACGAAATCGAATTGAAAACATACTTCGCTTACAGTTGGATTTGGATAAATACATATATTAGTAGTAGTTGTATTAGTTGAATCTCGGTATGGGTATAGGTTCGGGTTTCTTTAGAGTACATATGCTATATCCTATATGCCGTATTACAACAACTTTTCTATTCGATTTGGCCACCGTGTTGTTTATGCGTAGGTTATACAAAAAAAAAAAAACATTCTCAAACAACTCCTCTCAGCCGCCTACTCACGAAACTCACCTCGCGTTGTGACCCAGCATTATGATGCTTCTGCAAAAATACAATTGAAACATCGACACGTTTGTTTATATATATATAAGAAGTAGGTAGGTAGGTAGGTAGAGTTATAGTAGTAGCATAGAGTAGAATTCGTTGAGCTTGTAGAATTTAAAGTTAGACAGACAGATTACACAGAAAACAAAGAGGAACTCAAGAGAAGTTGAATTTGGAAAAACGAAAAACGTCCAATCCGATACGAAACGATGAGAAAACGAAGGTGGGTTTTAAACATGCCAATCAGTAACATTTCGAATGCATTTTTAGGTATATCTTTATTTAGGATTGCGCTCTTTTTTTAAGGGTCGGAATTTGTCTCCGTCTTGCAGTATCAACCTGAGGGACATTCTTAAGCTAGGGCACGGAAAACTTGCACTTGATTCAGTCTTATGAGAAACGATAAGGAATTGAACATAGAACTCTAGACGGGGGGAGGACCGAGCTTCTCGGGCTTCTCGAGCACATTCCTTCATGCTGCGATATATATGTATGTAGTATGTATGTAACATCTGGATATCATCTATGGTTACTTGCGCTCGCCTCACTAGTTGGTGCAGACAATTTAAGTAACAAAAGAACGAAACGAAAATCGGAATGTATTTACAGATACATATGTATATATGTAGGAGTATATTGGGTCAAGTCAAACTCAATGAACTCAATTACAAAAAGCGATTCAGATAAGATCACACAACCAATCAGCCAAACACCAACAGCACAACCAATATCTCTTTGAAGTTCTGGCAATGTCGGATCGAAAGGCAATCTATATATCTGTGTGTGTGTTTGTGTGTGAGTGAGGTGGGTATGTGTGGTGTGTATACACAGTCTGTGTTTGGGTGTACGAACTACTACGATATCGAATATATAACCGATCCTCGGCATCAGCAACCATCACCCAGATCAGATAGAAAGATACACATATCTTACACAAATAAAAACAAAAACAAAAAATGGGTTGGTCTCTTGCCAACTGAGGTTACTTGCTAGGTAATTACAGTAAGTATGGGATGGAATGGATGGGGTTGCTGATATGCCGAAATAAAACTTAACTATCAAATAGATCAACGACAATAAATATATATATATATATACGTATGTACTGTATGTAATGTATGCATGTATAAAGAGTAACAACTCCGCCAAAGTAACGTTTAGAACAACAATGAGACGGGATTGTCAACCAATTGCACAACAGCCGAAGAAGTGTCGGTTTAACGGATTATAACGATAACGATAGATAGATATATGTGTTACAAGGCATATATGTATATGTATGTAGTAGTTATTTTTGTGTACATATAGTAGGCGATTAAATAGAGTTTCAATTAGGTAGGTAGATAGATACACATGTCTAGGTTACATACATATCTTTCAATTCAACAAGGGTGAGCGCAAAGTTGGAAGCCAAAGTGTCTGTTTGGGTTTGGGTATTGTTTGTCACATACATACATATGTACAAATGCATGTATGTATGTACATATATGTGTGTACCTATTATAGATATAGCATAGAAGATGTTGTAGTAGTATTCAGTAAAAAATCTGCCAAGTATCGTTTACTTATGAATATCACTAGTTTGGTTTTTGAGATGGAAGGTTCGTTAATAGTAGGTAGTGGGTACTGTGTATAAAAAACAGATCTTAGGATGCCTACGGTTCTAGTTTATTATATAACTAATTGTAAGGAATTGTTTTATTGTTTTTTTTTGGGTTTTTGTTTTGTTTTTGTATTTGGTTTTTGGGTTTTGGGCTTAGCTTGTGTTTTTGGCCTACCGAATGAGCATAGCGAATTTCGGCTAATTCACAACAACATTGGTAACGGAGTATGGCTCGAACGCTCTTTCTGCAAGATGTTTGTTTATATAAAATTAAATATATAGTTTATGTGAGTACACTGGTAAATCAATATGGTTTTTTTTTTTTTTTTTTTTTTTTTTTTTTCTAAATCATAAATTAATTTATGAGTAGAAATTTCAATTAATGCGATGATGATTCATTTTTATTTAAATAGTGGCTTTAGTCGTTAATGTTACGAACTCTTTGAGCAATAAACATAAAACATAAAACATAGAACATACAATATTAAATTGAAACCAACAACAAAGGGAAATGAAATGAAAGGAACCCAAGAAAATAAATATATAAAAAACTGTAAAGTATATTTGAACCAAACACGCACGATTCTTTACTCTGACAAAGAAAATTAGCATATTAATTGCATAACAATTGTATTTTTAGCAATATGATTATTACTAATGAAGGCACATTCTCCACTTACCGCAGCAGTCGCGTTATGTAGTCGGGCCAGTTCTCGGGGAACATTACGAGGAAGAACCCAATGCCAATTAGTATGACCCCGGCCAGCTTCATGCCCGCAAAGTTAGCACTGTACAGTATGACATCGAGTGCTATGGGTGGAAAGTTCGGAGTTGTGGGTCAAAGTCTATTAAACTCGATTAAAATCCCACTTAAACTTCCCCCTTTAGATCAATTAAGTTACAGGCATGCCGATATTTTATGTCGCGTTACTTTAACTCCGAAGAAGATCAAACGATGCCGTGTGCCCCACATGAGTGCCCGCTTTTTATATTCAAATTTAAAACAATTTGTAGTCACGGAATCGTTCCAGCGAAAGGAACAAGCCCAGAGCAGGTGGTGCCACGAATTCTACCCAATAGAACGACAAGGCATCCCACATCACAGGACCCAACATGAAATGTTGTGGAGCCCGCCAGTGTGTACATACCACCAGAAACGGGCACAGCGGTAATAAGACCCAATGTCACAAACATGTTGTATGTTACGGCGGCGCTGAACTGCATCAGAACGTGGAAAACTGCAATCGGAATTAATTACAACGATAAAAGTTTCGAACACAACAGAGGCAGGGAAAGAGGCAGAGGAAGAGGCAGAGGCGGTTGGGTTGGCATGTAATGGTTGACATACCCAGGAGCAGGAGGCTCGCCGCGAACAGTAGGTTCCAAGGTATGCTCTCCGATGTGAGGCTTTCCGTGCCAGTCAGGTAGAGCGCCAGCACCACTGGCCATAGCAGAAGGGCGTTCAGGAAGCCCAGGGCGGTGAAAATGAAGGCGATTTGGCCCACCGGCGGATCGCCCATCACCTTGCGGAACATAACCTAGAAAGCGACAGCCCGACAGCGACATGAGCACAGGGCACGACACAATCAGGGAGGCAGGTTAGCAGGGGGACTGTGACTGTGACTTACCCTGAACACGGCATAGCCAGCGCCGGCCAGTGTGGCCAGAACAACGCCGCTCAGAGTCCGACTCTCCGTGATGCCGTCCATGTAGGCGAGCAGTGCGATTCCCGTATCGCAGAGAATGATGGCGACAATCTGGGCGGAAAGCAGTGGGTAATTAATTATTCGTTGTACTGTGGGGGGAGGGCTTGGGTGCAGATCTACTCACTCGAACGCCCACAAACTGCTCGTGCAGGATCACCCATGAGAGCAGATAGACGCACGCCACGTTGGTGGCGAACAGGGCCAGGGCGTCCGTGGCATAGAGCACGTTCAGGGAGAGTGTATACAGGTAGGTGGTGACCAGCCACAAAATGCAGAAGGAGAGGCAGCGATTCAGGAAGCGACCTGTGCGAATATCCAAACCATAACGTTAGCTGGAAATTATTGGGGGCGAACTCCGCCTCAGTGGGTGGACACACTCACCCACGGTGAAGCCGCGCTCCCGGAATCCTCGCAGCACATCGCCCAGGACCTCGCTCAGCTTGTCGCACTTGCGCGTGGACACGAGACCCAGGATGTAGATCGGGAAGAAGAGCAGTGAAAAGTTTGTAAAAAACCAGGCTGCAAAAAACGGGGCACTGAAGTAGACAGGCTGCCGCGGTGGTATATTGAACATCTCGGTGGCGTCCTCGACGTGATGCAGCGACGAGTCGCTGATGGCCATTATTTCCTCCAGCTCGGCACTCAGCTCGGCGCGACTCGACGACGTGTCCTGGTCGTCGTTCAGCACGTCATCGTAGGGCGCCCGGTACTTGTACATGTACTTGATGCAGTGCGTGGCCCCCACCCATGAGGCAGTCATCAGGATGGTCACGCACACCCCGAAATACATCTGCAACGAGCAGAGCCAGTAATGTGGCGCATGTGGCCCGAAATGGTAAAAGGGCTTGCATGGGTGTGGACTCACCTTGCGGGCCAGCTCCGAGCAGCAGGACTCCTTGCAGGCCTGCAGCTTTCTGAAGCGCAGCTCCGGCTCCTCCCCATGGCCATTCGGCTGCTGCTGCTGCTGCTGAGAGTCGAGTCCGGCTTGCGTGTCACTCGAGTCGCCTCCGAAGTGGTGCTGTGCATTGTGGCTGCCGGCACCCCCCGTGGGGGTGTCCGCTGGTATGATGATTACCTCATTGGGGTCCTGCTGGCTCGACGAGATCGAGTCTTGGTGGGTTATTTGCGGATTGCTCGATGTGAGCACATTGCTAAAGCCGCAGCCTCCTGTCGCTCCTCCTGTGCCACCTCCTCCTCCTCCTGCTGCTGCTGCTGCTCCGATAACTGTTCCTGGCGAGCTGCTGCTGGCCCCCGGCCCCGTCCCCGTCCCACTGTTGTTGTTGTTGTTGTTGTTACTGTAGGGGACATTTGTCGATGAGTCTCCAGTGACTACCACGGCAGGTGTGCGGACCCGTTTCGGATTGAAAATGGCTGGAATTTCGCCGTCACGCGTCATACTATCATCATTGCCAGGCCTCGCTCATAGTGTTCATAGGGGTCCGTGCCAGCTTAAAGATAGAGAAATTTCGAGTGAATGGGATGGGTATGGGTCTGGGTCTGGTCTGCCTCCTACAGCGGGGCAGTACAATCAATGATTCAATTCGATTCCAGCCGCCGCCATTAGCTATTCCTTAGAAGAGAAACGAGAGGCAAGTTGTTCACGTGACGTGCTGGCAGCGATTAAAGATTGAGGGACACGCAAGTCTGGAAGGCGAAGCACATTTTTCGACCCTTTACAAGCAAAAGGCGCACCCAATGCCCACGCAGTCCACCCAGGCAGGGTCTGGTTCGAGCAATTTGCATGCCCATTCCGGTGCCTACGCCTCCTCACCCCACCCCACCCCAACCCCTCTCTCTTTCTCTTTCTGTTCATGGTTCTCCTTCAGTTCGGAGCGTAGTCGTGTTCCCTCCGGGGTACTCGCTGGACAAGGCCACAGCCAGAGCAAGAGCAAGAGCCAAGCCAAGTTTTATTGCTGAATGACCAACGGGCGGCTTGTTCATTAAAGTCCGGTCCCGTCCGGTCGGGTCGGGACCACACTAGGCCAGGATAGGAGGTATTTGGGGCTATTTGGGATGGGGTGGGGCGGGCTGGAATTCATAACAATGCGAGTTATGAGCGCCCCGCCCCGGCTTAAGCAGGTCAAGCTGCAAGAGCACTGTCGGATTGGACAATAAACTGCCAGCCGGATCTGGCCGAGCAATTTGTAAGCATATTTAGTAGAGTGTTAAATCCAGCCACCCCCCCACTGTCGCGATCCATTACAGTGTCCTTCGGTGTCCTTCACCTTCACTGCCTGCTGAGCAGCCTGTGTTTGCCCTCGATAATAGCATTCTAATTGAAACATTAATTATTCAGCCCCAGTCGTAGTCGTGGGTGGGGCGGTGGGGGCCTGTGCACATGCATATCCGAGGAGGGACAGCAGAGCCGAGCCCAATGGGAGAGCCCAACGGGTCGACGGATTGTAACAATCTAATCGGTATATAATGAGTGTCCTTTTCTTGTAATTGACTGGTCTTGTCTTTGGAAATACTGTCGTACACTGGGAGCGAAAGCGTAGCATTGAATCGGGTTTCCAATATATACCTTTGAGCATCGCGCAAACTTCTTGGATGAATCTTTTAATCACCTAACTTGGGGCTCGAATTTTATTAGTATTTCATAGCACAGAAGTATTACGTAACTTGAGTTGTTTTTGTTTGAAGAATAAATGTTGCTAATCTGAGAATCTATTCTTGAATTATTCGTTTCTGACTGCCGAGAAATATCTAAATTATCGAAACATTTCGAATGATTCAGTGAGCGTTTATTGTGAGTAAGTTTATTCAGCCAGTTTATTCTCAGTTCGATCCGAGCACTTGGAGAGGCGAGAAAGACAAGCGGATTGAGATCGAAATGGTTGTGGCTGGAAAACTTGTTCAACTTCTAGTTGTGGCTTGGCTGGGGGGTAAGTGCAAACACCTACTCGTATACATATTCCACTGGGGTTTATGGAATATTTAATTATTCTACATCTATTCTGTTCCCCATAGCTCTGACAGTGGGCGATACCCAGTGCGGCCGCCTGGACGAGCGACTGCTCTATACAACGGACGAAAGAACAGAGCCTTCGGAGTACCCCTGGATAGGAGTTCTGCTGCAGAGTCAGGGTAAGTGCAACACTCGCTCTCTGATCTCTCTGATCGCTGATCTGACTCTCACTCTGACTGTCACTCAGGGAATGGCTACACGAACACAAGATGCACCGTGGTCATAGTGAACCAGCAGCATGTCCTGACCACCGCCACGTGTGTGAAGCGATTCAAGAACCGAACGGGCAATGTGAGCGCCGTCGTTATGGTGGGCGTGTGGGATGAGAGCCACTCACCCGACGAGGAGTTCGCCTGCAACAACAAGGGCTTCTGTGTGCCCGGGCCCAAGCTGTACAACGTGGCCGAGATCAAGGTGCACCCGGAGGCGGACAAGGACACGGGCGACAATGACATGGCTATCCTACGTCTTGTGGAGCCCATCCAGTGGACGAACTACATTCAACCCATTTGCATGCAGGGCAACTCGGAGCCAGAGTCGCTGATCAACCGCAACCTTCACTTCTCGGGCTTCACCCACACCGACAACATCAAGGGCAAGGGCCTGGCCATGACGGTCTCCCGTCAGAAGTGCAAGCAGCTGACCTCCGCCTCGACCCTGCCCCCGGAGAACCAACTCTGCGGCTTCCCCGTGAAGCGCACAAAGTTCTACGAGGGCACGGCCCTCATGGACATCAGCGTGGAGCGAAATGTGCCGCACAGCTTCTATGTGGTCGCTCTGCTGGCCAGGGTGATGAGCGTGGGTGCATCCACCACCCATGTCTACCAGGATTTGCGGAGTGCTCGTCCTTGGATAATGGAGAACACAGCGACAAAGTAGGCTCCACCTCCCCCCATTCTATCCGGACTACAGTTGCTATAGGCTGGAGGTTGCAGAGCCTGTTTTCAGCGTATTTCCAATATGTTTTCAATCAGTAAATAAATATACATATCTATGTATGCACAGATTAATGGATGTTATATGTTTATTAAGGGGAAACACTGATGCATCGTGCTGGGAGCTGCCCAGAGGTTCCGCATCTGGAACTGGTTTTTAATACGTGTTGCAATCACCTCAGAGAACATTCATTATCGCAATTGCATTGGCCAGAACACACAGGTGGAACGAATAGTTTATTCGAAAGCCAATCAAGACAAATCGCTGTAGACGATCAACTTCTGGAGAAACCCACTGAGATGGCATCGACAATGGGATGCTCGTGCTTGAGCAGTTTTCATGGCTCAGTTGACTTTGAGTCGCGCTTTAGAATGCATTGGGGAACCGCTCTGATCACGCTGCTGCTGGCTACTTGGACGGGCGTCCGCTCTGCCAAGCTGGAGGACACTGAGTGCGGCTACTTCAACGAGGATCAGTTGCTCAAGCAGGCAAACTTTGCCATACCCACGGAGCACCAGTGGGTGGCCCGCATCGTCTTCAAGAAAGGTGAGCGTCTGGCATAGTTGTGAAGCGTGAATGACATATGTGGCCTTCAGGTTTCGAGGGAAAGATCAGGGACGATGGATGCCTGGGCGTGTTGATTTCCAAGCGCAATGTGCTGGCCCCCGCCCATTGCTTTGTACAGTACAATGGCGAGGCGGAGGCGTTCTCCGTCCACCTGGGAGTGTATAACAAGAGCTCTCCTGTCAGCCAGCCGACATGCGACAGGGACGGATTCTGTGTGGTGCCCGCGCAGGAGATAAAGCTGGCCGAGATCGCCGTTCACCCCGAGTACGACCCGCTCACGCTGAAGAACAGCCTGGCCGTGCTCACCCTGCAGCGGGACGCCAAGCTGAACCCGAATGTGATGCCCGCCTGCATGCCGCCACCCCAGCTGGTCAATGAGACACTGGTGGGTCAGACATTCATTGTGGCCGGGCTGCGAGTCAAGGAGGATCTCAAGCTAAAGACCTGGGTGAACACCCTCAGTCGTGGCTTCTGCCAGTCCAAGGTCAGCTCCATTGTCACCAGCAGCAGCACCGTCTGCGGCTACCAGGCCAAGCCGGAGGGCTACTATATCGGAGCACCTTTAGTGGGGATGCAGGTTAAGGGGGATGTCACACAGAACTTCTATCTGGTGGGTCTGATGATCGACTGGCGCTGGGAGAACAATCGCATCCTCTCCAGCTTCCTGGCCATACGGCATTACCTCGATTTTATCTACCAAAATGCCAATTCGCTAATTGTACGCTCCTGAGCACCCAATAAAGGCAGAAGCCACTGCCAACAGGTATGGGCCGGGGTGTTAATTATTCAGCTCGAAGCTCGAAGCTCGGCGCTAAGCGCTTACAGTGCCGTGACTTCGGCACCACCCACCCGCTGCTCGTGCAGCATGCAAATTGTTCGTACACTTATAGCATTTTAATGAGCAGTCACTCAGCACCGCCCCGCCATTGCTATGTAGTTGGCTGTTGGCTAATGCGAGAAATATGGAAATTTCCTCGCTCTTCCTCGCAGACCCCGAATCACTGTGACAATGCTGCTCCTGCCAGGCAGACAGACAGACAAAGTTTGCAATTTCCAAGAAAAACGGAAACGGAAAACCGAAAGGGGAACTTGGCCAAATGCCAAGACATGGCCCAAACAAAGAAAGTAACCCAGCTGGTCCACTAGGCAATACTCTGCTCAGCCATAGCCATAGCCACAGCCATAGCCATGGACTGTGAAATATGGCTTGCACAAGTTGTTGGGGTAAACTTTTGGTGTTTTGGGACACACAAAGCACTGGACTGGTGTTCCATAAATCTTAGGTAGGTATTAAATATTTAGCCGCTCGACAGGTGGCTTCGATGTCGTTTTCCCATGCCAGTCCAGTGCACCACCCAAGCCATTCATTCGCCCATCCATCCCCAAAGCCTTGTCAGGCTAATGTAGACCCATCATTTTGATGATGCCTTGTCGGAGCATACTTTTAGTCGCTAAATTGCTCTATAAACAAAAGAGCAAGAGAGGGAGAGAGAGAGAGAGAGAGAGAGAGCCTAAAGACGCTCTTCGTGCTGTTTATTTGCGCCAAGAATAAAAATCACAATAAAATTTAAATTGCCTCGCAAAGGGTATGGGGGATGGGATGTGGAAAACGTGACCAGATGACCGACAGACAGAACGACAGAGACACGGATGAACGGAACGTTGTCCTTTGTTGTTTGCGGATGGCGGAATGGCGGAATGTGATTCAAAACAAAACATACAGCTGCTTGGGAGAGAGAACATGCCACGGCAAGAGAGCGGAAAGAGCTCGGAAAGAGAGGACAGTGAGCAAGAGAAGAGAGCAAACGCTGGCTCTCCGTGCAAGCGTGGGTGGCGTTGCTCAAAAGTAAACGAGCTTACGAACGTAAGCTCGTGGCACACGGCCACAAAACAAATACACCGCGCTCGAGGACAACACGCGGCGTATACGCAATGTGACACTTTTAGTGGTTATGGTCAAGCACAGCACTTGAGCGAGGGCACAACGAAAACGAAAGTGACGCCAAAAACTGTTTCAGTCAGACACCTGGTGGTTGGGTGGGGTGCTGCTCCGCTCCGCTCCGCTCTGCTCTGTGGCACGGCACCCCCAAAAAGCGCACTTGAAAATGGAAAACAAAACGCCCGCCAAGATGTTTCCATTGGGAGAGTGTGTGACTGTGTGTGTGTGTGGGGGGGACACGTGTGTGGGTGTGTGCGTGCCTGTGGTTGGGTTTAGGGTTAGCTACGAGACTAGGCCTTGAGGTAGCGCACACCTTGACAGTAGCCCGCCCATGTCGAAAATCTAGTCCGCCCCCAGCCACAGGCCCTGTGTGACGGCTTTGAATTTTTCATTTGGCCAAAAGGTAAGGTAGAAAACTGCTTGGGCGAATCGGTTTATCTTGTAGCGATGGAAACTGTGTGTGTTTCCAGGCTGCAGCTGTCGTTTCACATTTGCCGTGTTATGGATGCTCGTCGGCGGGGCGTTTAATGATTTTATATAATTTACTTAAGCACTTAATGTCACTTTTCCCACGGCACACACACGGGCCACAAACTTTACGCAATTCTTGACATTCTCTGCTCTGTCACTGTCACTGTCACAGTCGCTCTGCCTTCCTCCGTATCTGTATCTCACGCTTGCTTGCTCTTATGTAAAGATGGAACGGAATGGCGACGCTTGTCTCGGTGGCGGAGCCCTTTACTTAATTCAATTAAATGGACACAAATATGCTCTGTATAAATTTGGAGCAGCAGCTCAAAAACAGAATGTATCTATTAGATACACACACACACACAAACACACACTGGCACTCGCGCACGCACACAGGCAAGAGACACGTACATACATATATACACATGGATAGAATCACACGAATCGCTTGCTTAGCTTAGCCCAAAAAAGCCACTGCCACTTAAATGCGCCTCCTTCTGACTTGTTTTCCTAGACTTTGGTGGAAACTGTTACAGCCACAGCCACAGCCACAGCTCCTTGCTGCTGGCGTTTTTCCAGCCTTCCTTTTTTTTTTGGAGCACGCGCCGCGGACACTGTCGGATGTCGTGTCGTTGCTGGCCAGGAATCTCAAAGTAGACTGAACCGTTTCCTGGCCAAAGCCAGAGCCAAAGCTTTTCCAGCAGGCATCGAAAGCCCTCTCCGCGGCTGACAGCTCTCTTGCTCTCTCGGCTTAATTCTCTCACCATCTCTCTCCGCAATGCAAAGAAAAACACTTGTTAGGAATTTTCTTTGATTTTCCATTTGTTTTTGATTTGCCTTGCACGTTTTTGGTTTGTTTGTGCCGCTGATTTTCTTTTCAGCAGATAAAGATTTCTAAACTCAAGAATTATGAAATTTGTAAATTTTTGTTAAATATATGTGTAGTAAATAGTAGTAAACAAATAATTTTCTGGCTCAGAAATAACTATGATCCATGGTCCGACGAAGCCAGCCTTCCCTTCTTCTTGAGATTTATTATTGAGTCATTTCGGTCCCTTTTGTTTATTCTTTGAATAAACAATTTGATTTAAATTAAATTTCTAAATTGTTCTACATATCAGCGCTATAAAACTTTGTCTAAATGGAGACATCCAATAACAATTACCATTTTAAGTTCGCAATATAATCCGAATCGTCATGCCATAAAAAAGTAGGAGTGCAAAAAAAAAGCTCCCATAAATACACACATATTTAGACAGATCATCTATTCGATATATTCGCTATAAGGAGTCGCTCCCATAGAAAGAAATTCATCAGGAGAAAGCATTTCGCGAACCGTCCATTTAGCACAGTCAGCTTAGCATAATTTTCGAAATCAGACAACTGCCAACATTCCCAGTTCAGAGACTAGAGACCATCAAACGAGTTTCTTAATCACAGGCAATGCCATGAATGGCATATTAATTGTGTAATCTATAAAAATCCATTAGCATATGTATGGGCGAGATTGGCAGCTGCCACGAAGCCGCGGGGCAAAGATGTTCTTCTTTTCGACACCCTCAGAATTGGGTTAGCTGCTTTACTGTCGGCACCGGCTAATGCCGCCAACGCAGCTGAGTGTCTGGGGCTTGGAAGAATGCCATTTCATATCAAAATGGATATTGAATATTGAGCGTTCAGTGGGGCAGCGTAAAAAAATTCTAATGAGATGCGCTCGAAGACGAAAACAATGGTCATGACCACTAGGTTCGCGCCTCGGATTCGTCTCAGTGTGCTATAGACCTGGAAGGGCAACAGAACAGACGCAGCCAGTGCTTAGCCTTCACTTAAGGACATTAAAGAAACAGCAAACAGCCATGCATTGGCAATTGGTGACAGCTCTGATGCTCTTTGTAGCATGGAGTTATCCCATCCAGACTCAATCAGCCAGGACGCCGGCTTTGGAGCTGCAGCAGCGCTTGCCACAGGCAATGCATCCAGCCAATAGAGAGTAGGAAGCATCCAACTTTGTACCTTGGCTATGAAAAGATTTACCCATGTACTACTTCTCTTGTTCCAGTAACTACCAGTACGTCCTGTTGCCGAATACTCGCGGGGGCTACAGGAGGCGTAGCGTCCATGGCCTAGGCAAAGCGGCGCCAACGACGACCACAGAGCGTCCTCTAGTCCGTGTATGGAATAGTTTCATTCGAAGTGTTCAGCCCTCGTTTAGTTTGCGAAACTTGACAAATCCACTGGCAAACTTCTTCAACGACGGCAGCACGAATATCATTGAGACATCTCCCGTTTTCCTTCAGTCTCTGGACGAGGACCTGGACCCAAAGCCAGAGGATCCGACTCCAGAGGTGCAGAGCTCCAAGAAACGCAAACGAAAGCATCGCAAGCAGCAGAAACGAAGACCCGCCTACGACTCGCAGGAGTATGATGATTCGTACGATTACTATGCACCTCCGTTGCCTCCAGCCCAGCCCATGTTCTTCTACGACACCAACTCCGGCAGTTACTACGGGGTGCAGCGATTCAGCCCGGAAGACTTTCAGACCAATTACTACAATCGCTTCGATCCATCATCGGAGCGGGAACCACAGGAGCCGACAATTTTGGGTAAAATCAACACCAAAAAGATCACTCTTCTGCGGCCCCTGCCGTTGTCCGCTGCAGGCACAGTAGACGCCAGCGACTCGGCAAATCAAAACGAAGACGTGTTCGATGAAAATAATTTGAACGATAATACAGCACTGACCGATTCAACGTCTTACGGCATTGCCGAAGACGATGATGATGCCACGAGTCACTCACCGCTCTCCAAGAGCATGCGCAATGCTCTCGGCACGTACATGCGGGACGATCAGCGGAATCGCCAGCGCCAACGTCAGTCGGAGCGCAATGGTGGGGTTACTGCAGTCTCGGAGGCGGGTGCCAAGGTTTCTCCTCGGCATCGCAACCGCTATTTTCTGGCTGCGCGCCTGGTGAACTAAACCGATATATCTTTAATAAACTCAGCGAATACTTGATGGGCATGAACGTGTATTTAGCGGATTTGTTGTGTGTGTTAAGAATGGATGATATGATGGTGGCAGCTGTAAGGAAGACAACACTCACATGTAATTTCACTAGTTGTATATTAATGGATAAGTGGCGGTGAGGTAGTCGGTTGGACTTACTATACTAACAGATCACAAGAAATTAGCTAGGGTTCATCCGGGGTTGGTGACAATTAGACGAGCTTCATGAGACGAGATGCACTGCCAGCATTGGGATCCACTGGCAGCGCAACATGATCCACATGTTCCACATTCTGAAAATAGGCATGCTGAAGCGCGTCCTTGGCGGAGATGCGTATGTTGGGGTCATAGCACAGCATCGACTGTTCAGCAAAGTAAAATTATAGACAGATGCTGCTGCTTTTGATTGGCACTCGCTCACCATTATCAGATCGTTGGCCTCGTGCTCGCGAATGGGTGCGGGCACATTGGTCGCTTCCCATTTGGGGAACTTGGGCTTAAAGTCCGGCAGCTGCGTCACACCCGGCCAGGTGGTCTCGTCGGGCGTGCTCAAAGTGCGAAAGATACGATACAGCTGATCGATCTCGCTGTCCCCGGGAAATAATGAGCGTCGCATAATCTAAGACAGAATATTGAATGAGATAACCAAGCACCATTATACGAATGCCTTACCATCTCGGAGAAAATGCAGCCCAGGCTCCAGATGTCCACTCCAGTTGAGTAGAACTTGGTTCCCAGCAATATCTCCGGTGCTCGGTACCACAGCGTGACCACCTCGTGGGTATACGGTCGCATGGGTACATTGAAGGCGCGTGCCAGCCCAAAATCTGCCAACTACAGCGATGAATTAGCACGGAACTAACAGGAAAACAGCTTAATGCCTACCTTTATTCTGCCCGCCGTGTCTACGAGTAGATTCTGGGGCTTGAGATCGCGATGCAGTATGCGATTGGTGTGACAAAAGCAGAGGGCGTCGAGTATCTGGTGCATATAGCTCTGAAAAGGATGACTGCGTAAGTATATACGTGTGGAGGTGCAGCTTGATAACTTACTTTGATCAACTTCGGTGTAAAGACATCCTTCTTCTTGTCCATTAGTTTCTTCAGGTCCATGTTGAGGTACTCGAATATCATGTATAGATTATTACCAGAAATAACCACGTCAAACAGCTGCACCACATTCTGGTGCTTCAGGTTCTTCAGCAGGGATATCTCTCGTATCGCTGTGGAAGGGACGCCTTCAGCCTCACTGCAAGGAGGTGGGGAAAGTCAGTAGGTATCACAGATGTATATTATGTTAGTATGAAGAGCGCTTGTGACTTGGATACAGAAGGTGTGGCTGGACCACGCAGCCGAATCATGTGGTGCTACGCATTTCTAGACTGCAGCGTGGCACTCACAGAATCCGGGCTGCGTTGTGCAGCATGGTCTGGGACTGCTGCAGAGCCTGCGAGGTGTTTGACATTCGTCAAGGACACGGCGTAAGCAGCCAGGATGCTAGCTGTCTATATACATTTGTATGTGTCGGCACTGCACACTGTTTGCAGATTGCTGATTGTTGGGTTGGGTGCACAATGCTTTGACACTGCACTGGGTGACACTGCATGCGATTTCCAGCACTTATGTAGTTGTTGATTTACGCACCCTTCCAGGCGGATTTTTTTGAGCGCCACATCCTGACCAGTTAAATTGCTGTGCGCCTTGTACACAATGCCGTATGTGCCCTCGCCGATTTTCTCAGCTCGTAGGAAGTTATCTAAAACGGTTGTCATCGGGTTAAACTAGTCATTCGCGATGCAAATAATGCCTTTATTGATAATTGATAATACAATAAAAAAAAAATCAGACAAAAAATGGAGGGAAACCTGGCATCAGTTGACCATCGAGGGCACTATCGATAGTATCGATATTTTACTGATGGCCTCTACTATCGACGGCCTCTACTATCTACTATCGACGAAGACAAATTTGTAAAAAAATCGACAGGTGGCATCTAATTTTTACAATGGACAAGTTCCTAAAAGGTTTCAATGGTTTTTTAATAATTATTTCAGCCTGATTCTATTACGACAGTATCGATTGTTTTTTTCAAAACATTCAAAGCTATCGATGGCTCAACTATCAATCGTTTGACAGCTCTAGTTGACCGTCCCGCTAAGAAATACCATCCGGCCAACAACAAAAAATACCATTAAATACCATTTCAGTTTCGAGAAATACCATTTAAATACCATAAATCAAACACATTAGTTTCAAGTGTTTTGTCTCTTTAAATAAATAAAACATATAATATATATAGTTTAGATTATAACAAAACATATTTTTGATTTTACATACATATTGTTTCCTTTATTTCAATAACATTATTATATATGCTCCACTGCGACCATCTAAAATGGGCATTTGACCACTGATCGTATGTATATATACAAATATATATTACAAACCTGGTTTTTGCTCTCAAAATTTCTTTTTAATGTTATGTATGTGCCTGTTGCTTCCCACATAAGAACTGGAATTGGGGTCTAATCATATACTAAAAGCCCATTTATAAAGAATATTAAAAATAAGTTGTTGCGGATTATTTAGTTTTTAAGTTAGTTTTTAATTTTTATAATAATATCAAGCCTGATTTTGATAGAGAGCAGTTGTTTTGGAACTAATCAAACGAAAAACCAAAAATAATGTAATAAAATATCGGTATTTTTGTGCGATAAATGGAAATTTGGTGGTAGCGCTGCAACCTTTTTGCAGCGATGTGGCAGCCCAGTAATAGTGGTTAAAGGATTATTTCAAAATGTTTGGCGGTATGAATGATATATTTACATATCAGGAGCAGAATGGAATATACTTTTTCGTCCTCTTTTCATTTAATAAACTAAAGCAAGTTAATTGTTGTAACTGTGTTTTTGGGCTGCAAAACCATTGATGGCACTAACGATAAGGCCGATGAGGGATAGATCAATGATCATTTCGACCGATATATAGTTTGAAATAAAAGAAAAATAGATTTTATTTGAAATTTATCGAAATTAAAAAAAAAAAATACACAAAGAAGTGCGCTCAGACTATGCTCTTTATGATGTTTTTATGCTCACAGGTTTTCAAGCAACAACACAAATTGAGAAATAATTTATAAAATCAAATGGGATGAATATTATCCAAAATCCAAGCCCTGTAAGGGGCAATACACGTGAACAGGTATGGCGCTGATATAAATATTTCGTACTTGGCCATTAAATTTCCGATAAGATAGTAATTTGTTGGAACACCTTTCTCCACACGAACGCCTATTAAAATCGAGCCAAGCTGCAGGTCCGCCCCATTGATGTATCCACACATGTGACGCTCCGTGATTCCCGGGTATCGTTCCACACACAACTGCGGATCGATGATGTGCGCATAAGCCTTGATGCGGCGGCTGTTCATATTCTTCCCCATCTCATAGCCAATCATGTCCACGTTAGCTGCAAGTAAAGTCGTTGGTCCTTCCCAGGACTGCGGAATGCAAATGGGCTGAAGAAAGACAGAGAAGGACACATCGCGATCCAGTCTGATAACAGCCAGATCATCGCCAAGGGTGTCGTTCTTGTAGTCAGGATGCATAATAATATTTTCAATCATGAACATTCTGGTGTGTGCGCTGGACTCACAGTCGGAGGAGTCGAACATAACCGCATAGGTGTATTCGTTCACATTTTTGCCTCCGAAACAGCTGGCGGGTGCCAAGACATGCCGGGCATTAAGGAGCACGGCAACGCAGTGATATACGAATGCTTCCTGCTTCGAATCATTCCTGTTCTTAAAGACAATACGACCCAGCCATGGGTGCTCATCCTGCTCGGCTTGCGCCTTGTTAGTGTAGAGCTGCCCCTCATCCAGTCTTCCACAGGCCTCCTCTCTACACATTGCCGCAATAGCTGTGTTCAGGAGGAAGGAGGAATTTAATTGAGGTCGTCTCAGGAGCCTTGGACAACTTACTTAGCGCGGATATAACAATACAGTTCACAAATACAAATACCCTCTGTCCCGGCATTTCGTTGGGAGCTGTGGGTAGGGCGTCGACTCAACAAAGACTGCATATACATCTGAATTGATTGCCTCACTTGCAGTCGTCTCAGCGTTGCTGATTATGATTCATCGATCCATTTAAATAAAAATATTTCCATTTTCCTTTCTTTTCTTTTCTTGTTTACTCGTACTTGGTGTGATTACAAATTAATTATCTCTTCAATCCACTTCCTGTACGCTGAAATGAGAGTGAATAGGGTCGGCATGTGCGGATTGCTTTCGGCCAAGCCATGCGTGGAAATCCCCAAAAGCTTCCATGCCTCAGTTCCGTTCTCCATATTCCTGCCCACCAGTGCCGAGCCCATCAATGCCGGGCTGTCTGTCGGGATGTGTGCGCACACCTCAAGCTCCGTTATGGTCAGACCTTCAAATTTGCGCTGGCAGTAGGCATGACTCGTAATTTTAGTTGTTCGATGACTCTTTGTGCCACTTGGACCCAGAGCGGTGGTCACCACATCGAAGCGCCGGGCAGTCAGGGAAACGTCCTCCACCTCCTCAGCTAGAGAGAGGCAGGATGACAGCACAGGACCGTCTCCGAGCTTTAGTATAGCGATATCGTTGTCGGAGCGGTCCAAAGTGTATTTCGGATGAATGAAAATGCCCATGATGTTGTGTGTCCTGAACTCTCCACTCCTGTAGATGTAGTTTTTTTGCTGCTTCCAGATCACACAGTGCGCCGGCGTAAGGATGTGGCGAGTGGTGATAGCAACGCCAGAGCAGGGATACAGTCGGCTGTTTTTTGTGGTATACCGAATCGTTCCTAGCCAAATTAACGCTTCCGGATCACGCTTTCCATTCACACAATCGATTGCTTTGCTGGCTAATGCTGCATCTACAAAAACAAACGTGTATGCAATATTAAAGAATCATCAAGTGCCTCCACAAAACCTACTTCCCAGCGCAATAAAAGATAATACGACAAAAACAGGGACTGATTTGGATGAAAGCATATTGCTTTGTCTGCTCCGATCCGTTCTCTCGCGCGGTTTGATAACAACTGAACGAGTACGCATTGGAATAAATTTCTTTCGATATCGACTCCACTGAAATGCTGCAAACGTTTAAAAAGACATTTCATGCATTTTATGAGATGCATTTAAAAATGTAATTGCCTGTAATTGCCACACGCAATTGGCATGTGCACGCCCCGCACCCGCCCCCCCTCTGCACTTCATCTTGTCTCAATTTTCTGTTTTACGTGTGGAAATAAAAATGCCATTAAAATTACGGGGCCGCTCCTGTTCCTTTTTGATCTTATGAGCATGTGTTTTCCGTGATGTGATTCTGCGGATAGAGAGAGAGAGAGTTTTGCGTGTTCTGTGAATGTCTTTGGCGCGCAACGGCAACACAACTTCGCATTTTATGGCTCATTAATCATTTCAGACCGGTAGTGGTTGTGGTGCTGGTGTATGCGTAATCACGCCGTTTGACAGGACCCTTCGTGATGACTTCATGGAGTCCTCCATCTGCCCTGAGCACTCGCTGCCTCACAGCTCAGTGCTCAGTGTAGAGCGGGGGTGTCGACAATTAGCCGTGATTCAATGGCAAACCAAATCTATTACTTCACTTGTTCAAGTGCCTCGTTTCGTTTCTCCCGCCCGACTGCATGGCCCGGAATTTATGGCTGCAGCTGTTTGCACATTTCCATATTCCTGCGACTTGCGTGCTTTCGATAAGGAGCTCCCTCGACTTGCAGGGGTGGCGGCAAAGGAGACTCGCAAATATAAATTATGCCATGCTGATATGTACTTACGGTTTTTGGCGCCAACCAAGTGCCGAAAAACTGCATTTCCCGAAAACAGAAAAGCAGAAAGGTGCACCGAAAGCGATGGACCTGGGTGCCGGGTGGCCTAGAGAATCCAATTTCGGGGCAGGTGACAACTCAAGGGTGCGGGCCCCAACTGTGCTTTGGGTCTCCGTGTGATTTATGCATTTGGGTTTGGGTCAGAGTTGGGGGTAACTTTGCGTAAATAACCTAAAAGCATTTTCAATCTGTTATACATAGATGCAACGGAAGAGAAGGGGCTGTACAAAAACCTAAAATACAGGAGTTTGCAATTTTGTTTATTCGTAAATCAACCTGTAGAAAGACAGTGAGGCCGCTAAATAGAGAGGGTTACATTTTTGAGTTCTGCAGAATCCAATTGAGGTGCAAACGAACGTTCGTATGCAAATGCAAACTCGGTTCAGAGTTAAATCCCGCGGCCGCAACGCCCACTAGGTGGAACCTACGTGGCTCTCCGTGGGCCTCGATGAGAGCAGACCCTGACATGGGATTAAACTCGGTGCTCCCGCAAATGTTTGAGTTCGCTATCCTATTGTCTCGATCCTTTTTCTGGCACTCCTCGGTGCGGACTTTCTCGAACGGCATCTTAATTCTCTTAGTTATATTCCGTCTGTTAGGTCTCACGAAGCCCGACACCTGGAGAGCTGTGTCAGCGGTGCCAGTTGAAACTTCTTCGGCTGTAGGCAGGCATATGGGCTGAACATATTCAGAGATTTCCGCGTTCCTGGCCAACTTGATCACAGCTATGTCATTGTCGACTTTGTGGATGGTGTAGTCTGGATGCATGGCTAGTGACTTGAGTTCGATGCGCTGGGGGGGCGGTGCACACAAGCCCTGGGGATTGCAGTCCCGTTCGGTGATGTTGTTGCTGGAGTCCCAGTCGCCGAGGACAACTGCCGAGACATCTCTATCGGCATTATCCAGGCAATGAGCCGCTGTGACGACATGACGGGTATTTATGAGTGCGCCAATGCACAAATGCTCTCGGTCTCCCTGTGAGTCCGTGAACTCAATCCGTGCGATCCATGGGTGTTCGTCCAGTTCCGTGATCCGCTGTCCATTCTTTACCTGCGACTCGTTGAGATTTCCGCACTGCTGCTCGCTGGGGCTAGCATCCGCAGACGTTTCGAATGCTATAAGTCGATTAAAACTATATTTAGATATCTATTTCGGGTTCGCTTCCGATTCTTACTGATAAATGCAAACCACAGTGTCCCAATTATAGCCAAGAATCTGTGTAACACAATCATTGTGATCTTTTCGTCACTCGGGCAAGCACTGAGGTGTTCCGAGCCAAGCCGAGTCTTTTATAAGCCGAGTAGCTGCTATACGGATAGCTAGTCAATCCAGTTATTAAGCGGCTATTCCCAAGCCTGGCCTGAAACATCGCACCAGTAAATATAATGGAAAAGTTGCTTTGATTAAATAAAACCTGGGAAATTGGTTTCAACAAACACTTACGCTCAACTTCCTGACAATCAATTCGAATTAAAAAGGATTTAAAGTAATTTGCAAGCCACAAATTGCTGCTGATTCTTATTGACTCATAATTAATACATATAGTAATAATAATAAATGAAAAAAGAAGTGCACAGCATTTGTACGTTTCAATTGATTGAGCTCGAACAAATATGAATAAAAGATTCGTTTGACGCCGCTGCACATGGAGATGCATTTATTTATGAGTATTCAGAGTCGGTGTAGTGCGAAATCGACATTACCTAATTGAGCGTAAATGAAATTAATTAATTCGAGCGTTGTTAGCAAACGATTCGCGGTCGATTTAAAGTGGCTAACTGACAGAAATCTCCCCCCTGTTCGCGGAGAATTGCTAATGGAAATTGCACTGGGGAAAGTGGAAACATGTTGCAGACCCCTGTGGAGATATGACAGACAGAATGGAATTAAATGAGGCCAATTGCAAGCCAACAGCTTTAATCTGAGTCCCCTCTCCCCCATTTTGATGATGCTTTTGCCTTTGATGGTGTTGATCAAATGTCAAAGTTGGTGACGAAAACAAGGACATCGCCCGGATAGACAATGCTCCCTGGAACTACGAGTTGCCAGCTAACGAGCAGGCGCATGTTCCATCTGCAATAACAACAATGCTGCCAGGATATTGACACAGCGGCAACAGCAGCAACAGCAGCAACGGCAACAACCATACCAATGTGCTGGTCTGGTCGCAGGTCCTGGCATTGTCAACAATAAGAGCAAATGGCGGGCAAAAATGAAACTTGTAATTTGAACAAAAGCAAACCAGTTACAAATGCCGCTCATACTCGTACGAGGGCTCGTAGATGAACGTACATACATATGCACATGTGTATGTGTACGTTAGTGTACGTCCGCACATGAATGTTTATACACTTAGTATATGTGACTATATGTGAGAGTAAGAGAGAGGTCGTTCTAACATAATACACATCCAAACCCAATTGAGGTCATCACGTGGACAGAAATGGATCAACAATTGCAAGTGCAATGCCGCAATACCCTCACCGACGATTCGGAGTATCATCGACCCTAATTTGTTTGTTGAGCTACTGAGCTTCTTCAGTATTCAAGAGACGATGATTTTTCAGCTAATATATTCACAGTTTATTTCACAATTTTAGCCAAGAATGCTTGTATGGCATCTGGGTCTATCTCTGCTTTAGCCGTATCTATTAACCGTATCTGCATAGCTTTTTATGAGAAATACTTTAAACGTCGCCTAATTAATGCACCTTTACACAAAACATAAAAGGACATAAGATATTCTTTTTTTTTTATTTTCCTGAGTTTTGAAGTCAAATTTGGCATTTGAAAGCTTAATATTTTTCAGACGGTAGACTGAAACAATAAATGCATATGTTCAATTAATAGCTGCATCTATTAGCTTTTCAGAATAACAAAGTTCATTACAACCGAATATTTAAGTTAAATGAAAAAAAGCGCTACCTCTAAAAAAAGCGAAAAAAAGTTATGCGGTAGAAACAAAACGAGAAGGAACGTGTGAGTCGCTTCTAAAGACGCGACTCTACTTATACCCGTACTCAGACAGTATTTACATTTTTGAACATATGAATTTTTAGGATTTTATCATTAAAAAAAAAATTGTACATTTAAAATTTTTTTGCTACATCTGCTATCTACATCTACATATACAATGTATATTCTACATCTAACATGTAGATTATAGATGTACCATTCATATTCTACATCTCCTCCGCTGGGGGTTGCTCGCGCACTGAACGCGGCAGAGTGTGCGAGCGAGAAGGAAAATGAGTTTCGTTTTCGTTTGCGTGAGGGGGGGGGGCAGGGGAAGCAATTGAAAATTAATTTCGTCATTCTGGCTATAATTATGATCCGATCTGATTCAGATTCAGCAGTCTGGTAGATATGGGCATTCTCTACGATACTTCGTTTTTAGTTTTATCGTATCTTTAAAAATGTGCCTGCCACAGATTTTCGTTCTTTGTGGGGGCGGAAGGGGGCGGGGCGAAATTTTGAAGTACACTTGTAGCAGTGGGATACCACATGAGTCTGGATACCAAATTTGGTTGCCCTAGCTCTTATAGTCTCTGAGATCTAGGCGCTCAACAAGACAGACAGACGGACAGACAGACATGGCTCTATCGACTCGGCTATTGATGCTGATCAAGAATATATATACTTTATGGGGTCGGAAACGTTTCCTTCTCTGCGTTACACACATCCACTTTTACCACAAATCTAATATACCCCTTAACTCTTTTTTGAGTACGGGTATAAAAATTTCATCACAAATTTTCAAACCCTCAAATCAATAAGAAAAAGTCAGTTTGGTTCCTTGAGAAAAAATCGTGTCTGGTAGTGTTATCTACTTAGTAACAGAGACTTTTAGGGAGAACAATATTATTTACACGAGAAGCAGTGCTTCAACCAAAGATTTTCGTGTTTTAATGTCATGTTTATGTTAATGTTTCATGTCATCTTTGGGACCTTGGTGCAAAGTACAAATGTATAATAAGATAAATCAAAGCTTATTTATACAACAGCACTGCTAAAGAGCAGAGGCCACAATAATGATATGCGTGAAGATTATGTTATCTTCTCCTTAAACGTATCTTCTTATGTTCATGTCATATTGTGCAATAAAAGTTCAATTTCCAAAATGTAAGGCAGTCCAATGGTTGTAGTCGAGACACACATGGCTCGACAATCTTTCAACCAGTACTGTTACTCTGTGCTGGGATGTCTAGTATGAAGTTGGTCTACGACTCTGTTATTGTCCCAAAAAAATGATGAGGTCGAAAATGTGTTCTGCCTAGACTCTTTGAGCATTAACACACATGACAACGCAGACAGGTTATCATAATATCGATCTCGTTCGGTTTTTAATGGATCGACAACTCAATACTCCCCCTTATTTAATACCCTTGGCCTGAAGGAAGCTGTTCTTGGTGGCCATTCGATTGGTCTTACCATTGGGATTACGCTGTAAGTCCTCAACGATTAGGGCGCCGGCATGGAGTCTCAGGAACTCGGTCTTTGCATGCTGCGCCACGAAGTCGACCACATCCTGCTCAGTCAATTGGACACTTGGCTTCTTGACGATAGCGGCAGCAGCCTCGTCCCCATTTGCCTCAGACCAGATGCCAAAGGCGCAGACTTCTGCCACGCCCGCCATTTGGGAGATCAAGTTCTCCAGCTCGTGAGGATAATACTTATTGCTCTGGTACTTCAGCAGATCCTTCTTACGATCGACGATATACAGAAAGCCATCGTCATCCACGTAGCCCAAGTCACCGCTGTATATCCAGTTGTCCTTGTCGTAAACCTTTTTCGTCGCCTCCGGGTTTCCATAGTAGCCTGGCCAGAACTCTCCAGTGTTAGGGCATACCTCACCTACCTCGTTGGGTCCCAACGAATCACCAACTTCGTTGAGAATCTTCAGTTTAAGACCCGACGTCAAACGACCCACGGAATTGGGCTTCTCACCGAACTTCCAGTTGAGAGAGCAGAAACAGCCCAATTCGGAAAAAGCATAGCCGAAGTTCAGGCAATCCCTCCCCAAGCGACTGCGAAGTGCTTGCTGCGTTTCCAGAGTGCAGCGGCCACCCACGTACATGAAATACTGTAAGCTCTGTAGATTTGCCATCTCAATGACCGGACAGTTAAGAAGCGCCGCCATTTGCGCTGGGGCTTGGAGCACCCATGTGACCTTGTGCTCCTCGATCATGCGCAGGGTATCAGCCGGATCGAAGGGTCTCTCCGATATTATGCGTTTCGTGCTGAAGACACCCGTGGTGATGGTAGCCACTAGTCCCGAGGCCCAGTCCAGTGTACTGGATGCGTACTGAACATCCGCAGTGGTGAGCTTGCTGTAAGAAAATCCGTAAGCCAATTGATACCAATTTGATTTCTTTGGGCAATACTTACGTGCTGCCGTTGAGAATTTTGCGGCTGTTGGACAGGGTGATTGCCTTAGGAGTGCCCGTGGTTCCGGACGAGCTAAGAATGAACATTTGCTGGCTATTCCCCAATTTGAGACGAGCGGGTTGGAAGCCTAGCTCCACAGGTGTCTGCAGAACTTCCTGAATTCGGATGGAGTTCGTTGGATGGTTACGCATTGTCACAATCTTAACATCCAACTTGGCGGTGGCCTCTCGCACTTTCTCATACTCGTCGCCGTCGCAGAAGATAATACGGGGCTTGGTGATGTGGAATAGCTTTTCGATAATATCCGTCAAATAGGCAACGTTAAGGGAGTGAGGAGCGATGCCATTGAAGAGGCAGGCGTATGCGACAGCCGAGATGTGTGTGGTGTTCCTAGCTATGATGCCCACGACGTCGGACTGATCTAGTCCAAGGTTGCGTAAGAAACTGGCAATGCGCATTGCGTTCATTAGAAGTTCTTCCCGCAAGAGGATCGTTTTCTCCGAGTCTGATATCTGCGAAGCAACATTTGAGGATTACTCAGCACGTCATTGAATGTGTCTTTTGAATATACTTGCGCTATATCCTTGGGATGACGCTGCATCTCCTGAAATATTATTTCGCCTATGGACAGGTCCTCTCCAAAGTGAGATCTTTCATTCTCACAGCTCCAGATCTTGCTGATCGGATCATAGCCGGTATATGCCATGCTGATTCGCCTCTTGTTCGCCCGTAACTGCAGACTATCCGCCTGCAACAGTCAAATTTATAGACTCTGATGTTATACTTATCTCTTCTAGAATTTCAAAAACAATGACGTTGCCAATTTATGTTTCTTTTTAGATTAGCAGTTTGAGTGATAAGAGTTTTAAGTCCTATCAAATGAAACTAAATGATCCCCTAGCAAACCGAAAGCAAAGTTTGTGTGTGCTGAAGATGATTACTTTTGATTTAGTCTATTTACCCATCACCAGCCCATTCCCCATTCGCGTCCGCAGCTGAATTTATCCAACTCCAAATTTAACTTGCCACGCATCAGTGTTTCCCAGGGAATAAATACTGGGGATGTGTGGGTGTGTGTGTGTGTGTGTGGGGGTGCATTGGGGGTAAGTTTAAAAGTTGTTCATGCCTAGCATTTGAAATTTGTTGCGAAATTATATTGCGGCTTGTTTGTTTCGCTGCTGCTTCGTATGCGTCACGTTGCGTATACGCGCCATGCGCCCCCAGGCAGGCAGGCCTTCTCACCACTCGCACACATAGAGAAAACCCAACAGAAAAGTACTATAGCAACAACCAATAGATTCACACACAAACGCGTAGGTGAATAGATGTGTTGGGGCTCTGCAAATCCGGTAGCATCTCCCGCACATTCTCGTAAATAAGTTTTGAAAAGGAAAGCGAAATAAACGTCGCCCGCGTTTATACATATACTCGTACAATATGTACACACACTCATGCGTATTATGCTGTTGTACAAAAAGGATTGTTGTCGCTGCTGCCACGATAAATGGCCCCAGAGTTCACACTATGTGCGTGTGTGTGTGTGCGGGAAATCTATAAAAAGTTATAAAAGTGTCATTAGCGACAACAATGGGCATGCCGTCAGCATCGGGAGCATCTTAGCGCGTCGTTACATCGCACTACGCTCGTCGCTAAAGCCTTGTAATAATCCCTGTCCTCTAAACATGTTTTTGCCAACTTTTCCTCCGCTTTGCATTGGCAGTGACCTGCCTTGTCACTCCCCCGAACAGCAATAATTCATATCACTACCAACTAACTACTAACAAAATGGGAAATGTAAAAGGTTTTCCGTGTACAATTTGAGAATGTCATACTCGTATGTGCCAAAGTCTGTCTGTGCGACTATTGAGTACTGGTCCGTTTGCCATCTATGCCTATCATGTGTTGTTTATCAGTCGTTGATTTGCCTTATTGTGTTGTTTCATGCATAATTTAATACAAAAATGGGCCGGAACAACGCCATCAGGTTTAATCGAACTCCATGGCCATGACAGATTGCATTTGTGTTTGTATGTAATTCTTTTCTCAATCTTTGCTGACATGGGCACATACTCGTATTTTCAATAAATTTCCATCAATAGTAAGTTGGTTTTTCGATTTTGTTTCGCTTTTACTTCAGTCATCTTTTATTGCCAAACTTTTTTCCCGCATCAGACATGCCCGTCACATTGAATCAAACAAGTTTATTTGCTGTGTCTCTGCAGTTGGATCTCACCTGTCACCTCTCACCTCTCCTCCTTACCCCAATCACCAATCCCAAGCGGGTTAGTTGACTTTGACAAATTTCAGCAAAGTGGATTAATTTGTTTTATTCTGTACTGTACCCATTGCCGTCCGCTCATTAGAGCCACAGACGAGTCGAACTTTTCGCAATAGATAAGAAAAGTTGGCGTGGCTGGAGGGCTTTAATTAAGGCCTAGTGAGACGGCAAGCGAAATCAACAGGTGATTCCTGCCAGGCCATGGCCCTGGACGTTGACAGGCGACTTGTGGCCCACACACTTTGCCAATTAATAGCTCAGAGACTGGCTTTGGGTCTGCCCGTGAATTCTTAGAGTCAGTCCTGCTTCCCTTAACTTTAACTTTGCCCATAAATCTCCATTTCAAAAGTTCAGGACCGGTCGGAGATACAGAATCGAGTAAACAACGAGATTTGGCGCATTATGCAAGTGGGCGCCAGCCTTTAGGCGGCTCAACTTTATTTTTGTACCGTTGTTGTGTTCCATTCCGGCGTGTCCGAAGCCACCACGTTCCCCGAATCCGTCTTGCCACTGCCATCGTGCCATTCCATGCCGTCTTGCAACTGGCTTTGACTTTGGATTTTCGCCAGTTGCCAAATGGCAACTTCGCATGAACCACGCCCACTCCTTGTCGAGTGCCAGCTTGTCGCCCACATGAGAAATTATGCGTATTTTGCTTAGCATTAATTCCTTGTGCTTTCCTTTCCTTAAGCTCTACTGCGAAAGTACTTGCAAAGTCCTCGCTGACTGTTTCACCGTGCTGCAGTTTAGGCTGAATTTGATATCACCGAAAACAGAGAACAGAAGCACTTATTTTATATTAAAAACGGAATGAAAATGCACTGTTTGTGCAGCACACACGTCGTATACGCACTACGCGGTTCACTCAATGGAGCGTAAGAGTGTGTCTCTGTGTGCCATAATGTTGCTACTGTTCGCGTGTGTTTGCGTACGTGAGCGTTGCCGAAAGGCAGTCGGGAATTTATTTAACTTTCACTTTACTTGGAGCCGTGGCAGCTGCGTGCATTTGATTATTCCCGTCTGCACAGCGGAGAAACAAAAATGGCAAAGAAAAACTCGGGTGGCAACAATCAAAAGTCGCCACTGACAACGGGGATCTGCCTCCAGTAAAGGGCCCTGCGTATACGTTTTCCTCTCTCATTTTAATTCATTTTATTTCACGGACGATCCACTCATTTTCGCCTCCCATCGGTTCTGACATTTTTTGTGAAATTCATTTGCTGTCTCCGTACTTAAAGCTGCATTTTCTTTCCTTCTCTGGGGTGGCGCTGCTCCAGACATCGCTTAGCATCGCTGAAGGATACTGTGGCGACCTTTCTTGCTTTATTTATTTACATTTGCCAAGAGACAAACGGCTAAGAGATAAGCGACGGAAAGTACAAATACAGCTCGGAATTTATTTTAGATTCAACCCGACAAATGTCAACTTGATGGAGGCTAATTAAATCACTGAAAGTGGCTTAAAGGATGTTGACTGTCTCGCAGGGCAGGGGTTTGGTCTGTAAAAATTAGTTCAATTAAATGGAAGCTGCCAGATGTAGCAAAAAAATGTAAAATGTAAAATATTTTACAATTCTACTTAAATCATAAGCTCACAAATTTATATACTGACTGAGTACGGGTATAAAAGTAGAGTCGCGTCCAAAGAAACGATTCACACGTTCCTTCTCGTTTTTTCTGCAGCGGGACTAGTTTTTTTTGCTGTACCTGGATATCTTTATATCTTCTTTCTTGCTTTCTATTCAGTTAATTGCCCATCTTCATGCTGATTGATGGCGCGCCCTTTCAGTCCATTCTGACTTTTTGTACTTATCTAAAATGTGAGTTTTCGCTGAATCATTTTCCAGTCGGTCGTGCCATCCAGCTGAAAGTGTTGCGTTAATTAGGAAACGCGGAAATCTGTCATCTGTGTGCGGCCTCCTGTGCGCTTGTATAGTGTGTGTGTGTGTGTGTATGGCAGCCACAATGGTCGTTCCTCATTTCATCTGCCATGGCAACCATGGCAATCGCAGCGGGACTGCAGATTGCGGGAGAGGCTGCTCCACCGATGCGGTTGCCATAATGCCCGTAATTACTTTGTTAATGCTCAGCGTATTATGCCAGCAAATTAAATTATGTACGGTGCGAGCACAGAGGGAAACAGTGACAATGCGCCACACCACCACAGCCCAAAAAGCCAGAACCAGGGCCCGCATCTAGCATCCAACAACCAGCACTCAACATCCCAGCAAACCTATTGAATATTTAAGAATGTGGCGCACTTTTAAATTTTTTAAAGGACCAAAAAGACCACTTGACTGCCGTGACATTTTAGCTTGGGGTATTATGCGCAAGACTTTAATTAAATGCGACAGAATTTCGTCGAGTGCTCGGAGACAATCGTTGAGTGAGTGCAGGGAATTGGAACTCGTAGTTAAGCCGCTCGAGGAGTTTCCTACACTTAAATCAGCCAAGAGACTGCTGTGTCTATTCATGGAAAAAGCTATCATTATGCACTCAAAAGTTTTGACACACATATCAAGGTCACAATTTCTAATCAAATTAATATTGTTAATTGCCGTTTCTAGCTCCCAGCAACAAAGCAGACCAACAATCTTCATCTCACATCGAAACCTTAGTACTCGTACTTCGATTGGCCATGCCAAATATTGACACAAATGATGTCAGGCGTAAACTTTGTTAAGATTTAGTCAGGGGTCTAGCAATTCGTTGGGCTTTTTTTTAATCAAACTTTTTTTGTAACAGTTGAGTTTGTGGAAGCGGCGTGCCTTCATTATCGGATGTCTGATTACTGACTACGCTCCACAGGGAGTCACACTCCTTCCCTTTCATTACATCACGGTTCACTGTTAGCCACAACACACTCCAATTACGATGCCAATTTACCATCTACCACAATAGATGCTGGGCCAAAGCGGAAGTCCCGTCCCGTCCCGTCCCGTCCGGGGTGCACGAGTACCTGCACTGCCGTGGCACGCTCAGATAATTTCATTGTAAAGTTTAAGCAAATGTTTACCCTGCAGATGGGAGACAGACCGAGTGGGGCCGACTGTGGGGCGTGCTCCTCTTGCCGATAATTGAATTAGAGATGCCGACGACAAGGTAACAGGGTCTGGGTGCGTCACAAAATTAAAGCCAACAGCAACGGACACGGGAGGACCCCAACAGGTGTTGACTTTTCGCCAATTTTCGTATTCGGGGGGTCTCTTAAGTCTTTAATAATTTAATGGCTTAATAAAGGCCAAGCCAACCCACTGCCTCTTGATCTGATCTGATTCGTGTGTTTGTGTGCGAGCTGTGCCCTTGGCAGTTTCTTGGGTCTCTAATTGAGTCAGCTGCTTGAGGCTGCTTGGAATTGGCCTGATTGTGCATGGGGCACAATCTCGTCAGTGTCAGTGTCTGTGTCTCGTGTCTGGGCCAGGCCGAGGCTCTCGCTAATTTCC